TCTATCTATCTGACAATCTGTCCATCTACATAGTCTCTGTTTTTTATTATCTATCTATCTGTCTATCTATATCCTCCCCCCCCCCCTACCCACACACACATACACTCAGGATAACACAGTGTCTCTCTGGCTCTGTTTGCTTATCTGTTAGAGTTCATTATTGAGACAACTGTCTGGATGTGTCCTTGTTTATCAGCACAGGAGTTGTTTGTTTTTAGTTCTTTAGTTTTAGTAAGGGTTCACGACATTTGCAAAACAATAAGATCATAATAAGTGTAGGTGTTTAGGGGTGTTGCAAGAAAGTAACAAACAAAGAAGATCTGAAGGAGGGGAGATAAGGACGATAGATGTTTGATTGGAAAGAAGGAGCAAACCACATCAAAGCTCCCCCCAAACACTATGGGGTTGCTGGTAACAGCAATGCATGTAGGTGTGACAAAAGCAAAAACAAAAACAATTTCTTACAGTACAAAGTGTGACTCCGCCACGCACATGTTCATGTTGTCCATGACGGCGCACTGTCGTAGCTGATGCTCTTTGTTTTCTCTATAAAATAAAATCTTCGCAGCGAATTGTGCCCATCGTGGGCTCTCATAATGGTAAAAATAATGTTTCGTTTCTGGGAAGGTATTCCATCTTTTACAACAAATGTTGTTATACTGCACAATTATAACACCAGTCTCACTATAGTCAAACAAAGATCCAATACTGTAAGATAGTTCATCTCAACCTGCTTTAATTTTTTTTAAGCCTTTAGTTCCTGCGAATTCTCAGATGGTGCCTTTGTCGCTATTTTGTAGCTCTCTTTCGTTTCACGGGAAGAAAAGTAGATCGTCTACTTCACCCTAGAGACGTAACGAGAAAAAAGCCTTAATTTTGTAGTGGTTGATCTTCGGTTCCCGTGCCTGAGCACAGTAGTTATATTGTTTCACATAATATATCTTCAAGACTTGAATCTTTTTATTTCCCTCTTTATATATACATGTATTATTTTATATAATTTAATAAAATTCGTCAAGGTGATGAACAAGGTAAACAACTGCTACGTATACACTTATGACCCAAGCATTTCCCGCGGTTATGTCCCCTGTTGTACAAACCCGTCCTGATTGCAACTCGTTTATTATTTCGTTTGGGTTTGTTTTGTTTTTTTAATTTCCAGGTGTAAGCGTCTCAAATTTTAAAACAACATTCTGGGTTTTGCGCCCGAGATACAACCGCTCTGTTTATAAGCAGTCGTTCAAAGTTCGTATAGTTCTATGAACAAAATTAAAGACGCCTTTGGAAAAAAAACAGATAAATTCCTGTCAATACATACATTAATTTGCATCGTATTGTCATGACCATTTCTAAAGACTCATTGTGGGTAGTTGAGGGAGAGAGGGCGTTACCGTCAGGCCCTGCTTCTCTTGGGAGGAACTCCTTCCCTTCTTCCCTTCTTTTTATTCCTATTGTTGTTTCTGTCTTTTTCCGCTTTCTTTGCACTAAGTGACCGTTCTTGAATCGATGAGCCCAAACAAAATACATGTTGACATTGTATTCAGAAGATTCATTATCGCTGTTTGTTCGTGTTGTGAAATTTTGAACTTTTTCGGATCGATGTCAAAACTAGCTGCACGAATATATGCGTAATTTGAATCAGTAAAGTCGAGTGCCTGCAACATATAGTTATTTGTGTGTGTGTGTGTGTGTGTGTGTGTGTGTGTGTGTGTGTGTGTGTGTGTGTGTGTGTGTGCGTGTGTGTGCGTGTGATAGAGAGAGAGAAAGAAAGAGAGGGGGAAGGTAGAGAGAGAGAGAGAGAGAGACAGACAGACAGACAGACAGACAGACAGACAGACAGACAGACAGACAGACAGACAGACAGACAGACAGACAGACAGACAGACAGACAGACAGACAGACAGAGACCGGGGTCGGGATATGAAAGGATCACTGTTGGAAGTACATGCCTGTACACGTACTTTACAGGCCTACAACTGTAAAGCGCAGAGTACACTTTCCTTGAAGACAAGCGCTTCTAGGGTGTATAACCGTATTTTATTATCCTCTTATTACTGTTATTGTTTAGTCCGGGTTCGAGCCCCGGTTCGGATATGAATTTTTTTGCCCCTTCCTGCCAACCCAGCAGTAATGACTTCGAGTTGGGGAAGAAAAGGCGGCGTGGAAAGGAACTGGCCACCCTACCACAATATGCCGAAGGCCCAGGAAGTCTCACTAACAAGGCAATCCCCAATGTCCGGAACAACTTTACTTCTTCTTCTTCTTCTTCTTCTTCTTCTTCTTCTTCTTCTTCTTCTTCTTCTTCTTCTTCTTCTTCTTCTTCTTCTTCTTCTTCTTCTTCTTCTTCTTCTCCTCCTCCTCCTCCTCCTCCTCCTCCACCTCCTCCTCCTCCTCCTCCTCCTCCTCCTTCTTCTTCTTCTTCTTCTTCTTCTTCTTCTTCTTCTTATTATTATTATTATTACTATTATTATTATTATTATTATTATTATTATTATTATTATACTATTGAAGTAGCTGTGGTTTGCATACACTCGGGGTACCATTAAATCAGGAAATTTTACCCTCGGCTCCTCCTCCTGAACTGAATACCCCCCTTCCCCTCCTCTCACTTGCTAATACATAGGCCTAAAAGATGTCACCAGTATTGTAAATGATACTGCAAGAAACGAAATAAACAATTAGCTATGAGATGATAGAATAGCAACCATGGGTACACGTTCACACACGAACACGCACTCACGTACGCGCACGCACACACACACACAGACACACACACACACACACACACACACACACACACACAACATACAAAACTACACTCGTCTTGTGCAACAGAGGCACAGTCATAACTTTCTTGAGTCATTTAAAATGAGCGACAGAAGTGAACACAAAATGAACCCTTAAGTCCCATCTGACAGAATGGCCGTGCCGATTCCTCAAGAAATCTCCATAATTCTTTTGTAGTACGGTAAACACCGTACACACATCAAGACAATATATATCTAAATAATAGTAATAAGAATTGAGTTGTTTCGACCCCGGCAGTCAGCAACAGCCCATTTTGCAAGGCATGCTTCTTCTTTTATTTTTTTTTTTCGTTCTTGGCATGGTAGATGGGATGGTGAGGGCTAAAGTGTTGATGCTCCGCAGTGATTCCCTGATCTGGAGCATGTCCCTGGGTTGAGGCCAGTAGTTTTGTCTTGCCGTATCCAGTAGTGGACTCTCCTGGAGAATATTATGCTGTGCATCTTGGCGGCTGGCACCACAAGGACAATTGGGTCCATCACCGATCTTTAAACGGGATAACATGTGATGCTTCAGCCTGTTGTGTCCTGTTCTGAGTCTGATGATTATTACTTGGTCGGCTCTTAGAAGTAAATAGATTGAGTCCTTTCTTCTGTATTGCGGGTGCTTCTCGTTCCATTGGGCATTGATAGCTGACTTGATGAGCATGGCATGCTGAATCCCAACACAGAGATAGATACACTTCAATATTAACTACCTTTCTCAAGTGAGAATCAAACTCACAATATAAGAAGAGCTTATAGTGAAAAGCCATGTCATAGCAATTAATACTCGGGTAGTCTCCATCTAGTTTAAGCGTAAGACATTGTCTAAAACTAGAGTCATCCGCCTTATTCCTCTTTGAGTTTTAGTAAGAGTTTCACGGCACTTGCAACTCAATAAGGTCATATAAGAGCCGAAGATCAGAGGTGTTACAAGTGAGTAACAAACACAGAAAGGAAGTAAGAGAGATCAGGACGATATTCATGTATGATGTATGTTTGGTAGGAAAGAAGGAGCAAGCCACACAAGGGCACCTGCCAACCATCCACGACTTATTCTTCACATCAGCCATAAACGTAATGACCGCTCAGTGTAAGATTCTGTTATACGTCACTTTTCAAAATGGCAAGTGATAGAGTCTTAAATGGGGGCTCTCGTGGCCTAGAGGTTAAGGTGTTGGCCTCTCATTCAAAGGTCCCGGGTTCGATTCCGGGTAGCGACCAAAAAATTTTCTTCTCTAAAATTGTCTCCTTTCACATCCTTTCCTGATATCTAACAATGTTCTGTTGTCTGCTTTCATTTCCACTTTCTGCCCCCACCCCCTCACCTCCTTTGCCCCCTCCTTTGGGCTCCTGGCTCTTTCTGCAGCCTTTCTACTGCTACTCCTTGGCTCCTCCAAACTGCTGTCTTTCTGCCACACCCCTGATCTTCTGGTAGGAAAGATCTACACCTAGCCTTCTCGGACAAGGGCGAAAAATCTCGGAGGGCCCGTGTGCAAGTTGCGCACGTTACAGATCCCTTGGTGGTCTAAAATCGATAAGAGTAGGCTTCGGCCGCCACCCGGGCAAAATTCAAAATTTCCTAGGTATTAGGTGTGTCCCGCGCGCTCATATGACCTTATGCAGTTGCGACAAAGATAGTACAAGACAAGATGGGCCACTCAGCCTAAAAAGTGTCCGCAGGAAGTATGCTCTTTGCTTCAGATGGCGCTGCAGTCTGTTTTGAAGCTCTCTTTCGTTTTTCCAGAAGAAGAATAGGAATAGCACCTCCTTGCGTGCGCAGATCGACTGCAGTTCATCAGCAGTTCGTGTACGTTCAGTGCGGAGTTTTAGGGTTTTTTTTATTTTAATGTCCTCTCGCCCTTCATTCTAAAGTCAAATTAAACGAAGAAAACCATCTCCTTTTCCTCCGGAAGAGGTTTTTTGTCAGCGTAACCATTTTTAAATAGCGTTCTTCCTAAATTTATCCCAAAACTTGCTAGTTTCACTTTGATTTTTTAAAACTCAAGTAGGGTAACTCTGTTCGCAAAGAGTGCGCTTTTGTGAAGAGGGCGCCACCAAATTTTGAGGACACTTTTTTAATTGGCTCAAAGAGAGAAGTGGCCCATCTTGTCTTGTACTATCTTTGGTTGCGAGCGCCGTAAAACCCTATACTAAACAAACAAACAAACAACAGAGTCTTAAACTAAACATTCAATAAGACCAACACTTTCCTTTTTGGCTTGTATGTTTTTATTGCACTTTGCACCAAATGAAAGATTTGATTGCATCAAAGTAAACGGCAACTCATCGCATCAAAGTAAACGGCAACTCATCGCATCAAAGTAAACGGCAACTCATCCACAGATAAGGACACAAAGTGTAATGTACGTCTTAAGAGCATGTCAATGAATGAGGGAAAAAAATGAGGTAACCATTTTGAAATTATCCATCTCTCTCATATACTCAGTACGGTAACCCATATACACCACACAGATCTGCTTTACACATTTACTCACTACACATCGCATACTCACACAAGTGAAAACACTACATTGATACACACAACACACAAATCAGCACATTTGATGTATCCTTAAAAATTACAATCTCTTTATAATATATTTCACGCACTAGGTTATCTCATATAATTATACAAGTAGACATTCTTAAAACAGCACTGAAGAACCCACTATCCTACACAGAAGTCAGAAAAATACTTCAACCCAGTCAACATTTACACACATCCAAACATTTTGACCACAATGTCATAAGCCGGGCCAAACTCAAATATCATGATTCTGCAAACGGGATAGGAGGGTAGAAGACGAGATGGTTAAAAAAAAAAGGAATATTTTTTCATTTATAATAATAATAGCCTGATAATTGTAAAAATAAAAATAGTTGATAACATCCATATATAATGTTATCCTTACCCGAAACTAGACTCACTATGTATTACAGTTTCTTTCATTTTGTTTACGGTACAGTACATAAACCACTTACTTCTTGTTCTCAAAATTTGGGGGGGGGGGGGGAGAGGGAACAACAAAACAAAAGAAATATTAGATGAAACACATCTGGGTCTCTCTTGGCATTTCTGAATTCCGGACGGAGGGGGGGGGGATAAAAGTGGGTCCAAATCATAATATAAGCGAGTTTGGCTCTACTTTAACGATGACTTGATCATGCGGTCAAATAGTACAGATTTACCAGGTTAATTAGCGGTGGTTTATAAAGAGCAGTTTGCACATCACCACAACGCAATCAGAAATACTTGATGAATGAAGGCAGGGATAATTATTTAAGAACAGTTGGCAGGCGTAACCAGTAATGCATCGTTCAAAACAGATTGTATCTAAACCATGGCAGATAGTATTCACAAGCTTAGCACCTACAGCGAGAAAGAAGCAAAACACACACACTTGACCCAGTTTCTGGGCAACACAATGACACAGAGGTGCGAGGTGTAGCGTCTGCTTCAAAAGCGGTAAACAGGATGGGGTCGTGCTAGGGTCCATTCTGCACGACTTGGGGTGAAATCAGTGGAAATCGACTGGTGATGATACACTTTTCCCATATATGACTAAAGAGTGATATGAGAGTGAGTTTGATCTAGAGCTAGGCTCTATCTAATCTATGAAACAATGTGAAATGAAGAGTTTGCAGGGTCTACTGCTAAGCTCTGTTCTATGGAATAAAGTGAAATGAATTTGCATGAACAGTTGCAAAAAAAGGCTCATGCCGTTCCAAGGAATAAATGTGAAATGTGTTGGCGCAGGAACACTTAACTGCTAAGCTCCATTTTATGGAATAATGTGTGAAATGAGTTTGCGGAAACAATTGCTAGCTTTCTTTCCATGAAAATCAGATGGTTTGAAATGAACAGGCAGGGACTGAGTTCTATGGACGATTGTGAACACTCAAAGCCTAAGCCTAAGCCACTAATGGGATGCTCTCCCCTACTTCATAAAGATTGTCACAGCCTGGGAGCCGAGTGCAAAGTCTGAGATAAGGCAAAGAATACAGAGACCCTGAAGATAGAAACAAGGCAGGAGATGGTAGCTAAACCTGTGCATCATGTGGCAGGGACCGTTAACAACATACACTCGAGGCTGTATCATTCAATGGTAACAACATACACCATCATCAACATTCACTCAATAGAGTATCATCCACTTTAAACAACATACACTCGACTATTGTAAATATCATACACCCAAACATCACAGACTATCTAACAAGAGAAGACAAACACTATTCAAAAAAATGTTCAATCTCCTCCTTCCCAAACAGCATGAAAAGTTTGAAATGAAATCTGTAGGACACATACAGGAAACATGCAACAAGCAAGAAAAGTGGACATATTATATTGACCTATTATTTCAAACAATCCTATAACTTTCCAGGGACCTAAACAACTAGCCAAGTCTGTAGACAGAACCTTGGTCACAGTATGTTTGCAGGAATAGACCACTTTCATTTATGATTTTGCATGAGTTTATCCAGCTGAATTTGGTACGTTTTTCTACAGAAAAGTCTTGGGATAAAAAAAATGAGTTCATAACTTTTCAAGACCCCAAATGTGCAATTCAGAGGTTGTGTTCAATTAAAGAGTAATCTAGTAGCATGATCTCTATGACTGTCATACAGATGACATTCACAATGTAAATCTTTTGTATCTAATACAGCACACACATAAAATGGAACTCTCTCTGTCTCTCTCTGTCTCTCTCTCTGTCTCTCTCTCTCTGTCTCTCTCTGTCTCTCTCTCTCTCTGTCTCTCTCTGTCTCTCTCTCTCTCTCTCTATCTCTCTATCTCTCTCACCCACTTATAGACAAACAGCTCTGTGCCCCATACAGAAAACATGACAAGTCAAATTCATGAAGTCTCAGTCAGCTAGTAGAATTGATGTGCAATTAACAATACGCTGAACGCAAGTCTCTCCCTCGTCCAACTTAAACTCTACCCTCATCCCCAGCCTACATTTTGCCTCTGTGAGTTCACTCTTTCATTTTTCCAGTGCCCATGCTATACTGCTCCAAAGAATACTCCTCTCCTAAATCTAAGGACTCTAAAGTCAAAGACAGCCCTTTGGTACAATTCCTGCCTGATGTGAATGATTATAACCAAAAACTGACAATTTTCCTCATCTAAAATGCAACATCATGCAAACCACACCAACTGAGACTTCGTGAGTTTGACCAAAGAAAGAAATAAATAAAGACAAGAAGGAAAAAAAACACATCTCAGCGTGCAAAGGTTCCAGAGTACGAGAGCAATAGTCTTGACAGTGTATACATGCATGTTAAGATAAACAAACCATCTGGCCTACAGGGTACGTCGTATGATACGGGTAAATGGATAGAAAAATAGTGAACTAGACGTCATGTGTATGTACATACTTTGTTGGTCACAACACAAGCATTGCCAAAATGCAAAGAATACATCACATCTGCAAGAATAATGATCGCTTTGTGGTCTGAATTTATCTGGTCCATTTCTTAAAAGTGTTATGATTTGGTTCGGTTTAAGATTCTCTTTATCTTCCACGAGGGCTTTGTATTTGTGCTCGCTTTATTTTCTCACCACAGTGCCTGTTAGTTCCCTCGGGTTGGACAGTGGGGAAATAATGGAGGCACTCCGTGTGTCCACATCAGTGTCAGCGAAACAGAAAACAGGATTTCTCCGTTTTTCATCCTTCCAATCTTCTCGTTACAAAGACTTTTTTTAGTCTTCGTGTGACCTCTTGCCCACTGCAAATCAATTTTACAGGCGATGCAGACATTTTTCATGACCAGCACACGATGGCTCTGTCTGCATGTTGAGCCATTCAACAAGAATGATAAACTCCGCACTGTGCTGAATTTTTAAAAATCAGTACCATGTACTCAGGACTCGTTCTATTTCATAAAATACGATAAAGTCTCTGTCAAATTTCCCCAAGGGTACCAATAAAATGTAATTCATTATTATTCATTATTATTCATTATTATTATTTATTCAAATTTGATGGCATGCTGCATGTGTAAAAAAGGGTTTTAAAATAACTGTCCCGAGGCATACATTCACCAAACATCATTCGAATCGAGAACAATCATGATTGGAGTGTCATGTCCAACAGACGCATTCCGGGAAGTAAGTCACTTCATGGAACTTTTCTCACTCCCAGAATATTCTTCAAGTGAGGTCAGAACAGACGAAAGTTACCTGTGGATAATTCCAGTCCCAAACATCTTTTACTAGACTCATTTCTTAAACAATAGAGTGCAGTAGATGTACATTCAACTGCTTTTAAAAATAAATAAAAAGTCCTTCAAAAAAGAACATTATAAAACAATCTTCATACTGATATTGTGCCTGCAGCAAATAACACCAGAGTCGCGTCTCGACATCAAATTGGCTGAGGACAAACTCATTCATTTCTTTATGCGACACTCAAACTCTGGGTCCTGTCAGGCTATTAGGCTGGAATCACACACTACCATCTCTTCATTTGGGAAACATTATATATAACTCAGCAGTCGACTCAAATTGCAAAACTGTTTTTGCCCCATCACCGCAAGCTGACATCAAAGCTAAAAGAAAATTTTCAGACACTCAGTGTAAGATCAAGTACAAAACTCACAAGCTCCCTATTTTCTTGCAGATTTTTTATATCAGCCTTTAAAAAAATATCTCCAAGATGATAGGCAATCGTGGAAATGGCTTTTTTTTTAAAGTTTAAAAACTAAACAGATGCTGGAGACCTTGTGTGATTTTTCTAGTATTATCACCTGCGAAATAAAACGCCAAGATTAAAAGAAGTGCGACCACAGTGTTAACTCATGCCACACAAAGAATATAGTAAGGTACAAGTGAGTCAGACACGGCATGACCTGTCTATATATAACCTCAAAAACTCCATTATTGCCTGTACAGTGAGGTGTGGGTGTGTAGTATGTGTGTTTAAGCCAATACGTGTAAAACTCAATAATCATGGAGTCGCTAAACGACTCTTGGGGAGGCGGGGCGCGGGGCTAGCTACACATGTACAGCTATCACTGCAAACAACACACGTAAACAACACACCGCTGTAGCAAGACATGCGTGTGTGTAGAGAATCTGCACAAAGAGATAGAAGGTAACACACATGTGCACGGAGTCTGCACATTATAATCAGCAGAAGATAACACATGAGCGGCAGAAGATAACCCATGTGTAGCAGAAGATAATGCATTCGCAGAATGTGAGGTCAACAAAAGAGATAGCACACTGTGTGGACAACCAGATCCTGGCCGTTAAAGACGGCAGTTAATCTGCAGGGGTGTGTTGAAAAACCTCAATCAAGAGGGACTTATGGAATAGCCTCGTGTGAGGACCTTTAGGCACAGTCGAAATGAGAGAGTTGAATGTTTATTGTTACAGACCATAATTGTACCTGAACTACTGGGCAGGGGTGTGGGGAGTCTAGGGGCCTGGCTTGAAGACCTAAGTAAAGTCTGCAACTTGTCAGCAAAATCTCAGGAAATCTGTCAACTATATATTGCATTCTAACCTAAAAGGTGCCAACTGACATTGAAGAAGATCCAGAACTTCTCCTATACCATGGAAACTTGCAAATGGGAACTCAAAATTTACTGGTCTATTACATCTTGTATCAAAACTGGTTTTATTCAAATTGAATAGAGTAATATAATCCAGAAAATTTAAGAAATACGGATTTCAGGATTTTCTTGGAAAATTAGCACCTTCTATAACCTGAAAGGTCTATATCAAAGCTATATTCTCTACACTGTTTTTTCTTTTTTTAAAAAGCTATATATCACAAGGAACTTTGAAAATTTAAAACATCTATCATCTATCAAACATTAAGTGCCATTTTCTTGGCGTACACTGCCTTTTTTTCAAGGCCTGTTGGATACTCGCTGTGAATGTACAACATATTCAAAACATTTTAAACCAAGTCCAGGGAGAGAAATGGCATGACCTCGTGAAAAATTCATTAAAATGCTTTTTGGGCTTAAAATACTTCATTTTATTCCATGTATTACCACAAAAAATTTTAATCTGTATTTGATAACATTCAAGGACATTGAAAGAAATATTGTCATAAAAAATATTATTTTCAAAACTATGACAGCACTACTTCTTGAATGCAATAGTTTTACAAAACTTTCATTAACAAGTTCACACACGTCAGTGTCAATAAAAAATTAAATTCTCCGAATATTACACTTTTAGCAGGAAACATTAGACCTAGTCTCCTAGTCTCCAGAACATTGCCGACAACAACAGCCACCTGCGTGTTGTTGGTACCTCGGGTCTGTAACAATCACACAGTACTCCCTGGAAGAAAAGGTCCTCACGCGTTACGAAAGTTCCGAAAGCGCTGTCTGCAGCTGCTGATCATCCAGAACGACGTTATACTTGATTCCTCGGATGTCCCACGGCGACAGATCCACTTTGGACAGGAACATGTCATTAATCCGTGCCAGAAGACGTCCGCTGGTGACCTCCTCCTGCAGTTTGTTCACCTGCTCTCGCTTCATGCAGATGTTGAAAACCAGCACAGAGGAGTCCTCAGCCACCACGTCCAGCACCAACGTGCCGCGATCCTGCTCGAAATACTTGACAATGTCCATTTGGAAGTCCTGCACCACTTTCTGGCACAGTTGGCTCGACTTGTGGGCGAAAAAGCGGCCGTCAGACTTCCATTGCTCGCACATGATGCCAATTTGGCCTGCCTGGCGTGTGGGAGATGCAAGCTCCTCCTGGCCGGCTCGAAGTTTGACCAGCTCTAGTTGTGGGTCGTACTCCATGACGATTGGGTCCCAGTTCTCTTTGTCTGGCTTGCGACCTCCGCCTGAAACCCCACCAATCTGGGGGGATGACTCTGGTGAAGGGCCGCCGTTTTTACGATCTGGCCGAGAAGCGCTGACATCCGGAGACTGTTGCTGGTGCATGGACACCTGCTGGCTGCCCGCACTGTAAACCACGTCTGGCACAGAGGTGAGGTGTGAACCTTTACCCCTTGGCGTCTCGCATGCAGCAGCATCAGGCACCGGTGGAAGGGAATTCCCTGAGGGCCCCCGATCTTTCGATTTGGATTTTGACTTTTTGCTCGATTTCTCCTTGGCTTTATTGGAAGATGACGTCTTATCACTGGCCCCAACATCTTTGCTCTTCTTGGACGACTTCTCTTTTGATTTCGTGCGGTGCGGCTTCACATTAGGGTCCTTTCTATCCACCGCGTCTTGGTCTGAGAGCTTGACTTCTTTCTCATCCGAGGCCGGAGCTTCAACATACTTTCTACCATCAGAAGCCTTCTTGTCCCCGCTTCTCTTGGTGGAGGCAGACCGGGCAGCCTTAGACTTGCGGGAGAAGCAGAAGCACCAGCAGGACCTGGGCTTGACCACGTCGTCATCGTCCTGCACCATCGGCTCACCCATTCCGCCGGGGTGGCCTGGACTCTCCAACAGGGAAGCATTGATGGCGTGATCGGCTCGTGGTTCCCGGGGCGCCCAGATCTTGAGTGCATCTACCTTGATCTGAATCGTAATCTCCCCTGCGAAAAAAAAATAATTAAAAAATCAACATTCTGTTTAGCCCATACCACTCAACATCCCCTCATGAAACAGATACAATCTGTATTGTGTACATGGACAGATAATACAGTAGTCCACTTAAACCAGAATACACATCTATTCCCAAAACGGCAGTAAACCAAAATAAAATAAAATCCCTATTTGAAAACACTGCTAAACTGTGAAGAAAATCTAACAGTCCCGCACATTTCAGTATACATAGACTCAACTGTAAACACTTAACTTACAAAGGTAACAGAAAATTCCATACAGCTTAAAAAGAACTCTTGATTCACTATCTAATGAAACTCACTATTCTAAAGAACTTCTGCCTTTCAGTAAAGGACTACCCATCTCCCGAGATGGTTGAGGAGTGTAAGCATTGATCACTTGGCTTCTTAAACCCACTTGACTATTGTATCCAACTGGTGGCTGTCTAAAGGACAATACTTTGCCTGTTATCTTCATCTCATTCCCCTTGTGTCTTCTTCATCTTATGATACCAACTTTTTAAAAGGAAGTTTAAAAGAAGATCCGGACTCTAAAATAAAATTACCTTACTGTGTTGAAATAAACCCTCAATCCTCACTACATCATACCAAAATTTGAGATCTTAAGGATCCTAAAAACGAGAGCCATAATAGCTTCACTTATCACAATTTCTTTTCTTATAATCTAGAAAACATTTTGATGCAGTATAAACCCATAGCTGACTTTGCTTGGCAGCTTAACAGAAGTAAAATGTGCACGCATACATAAGCAAACAAACACAAACACAAACACACACACACACACACACACACACACACACACACCTT